TTTCGTGAGACTTTAAACGACTTCTTCTGTGATGATCTCACGTGTCTAAGACGGCAGTTTATCTCTTCTTTATTCCTCTTTTATCGTTTTCTTTGGATCACATCATAATGTCATCGTTTTCTTTATTCAATTTTGCCGACAAAAATTGAGTAAAATCAATGGCCAAGTCAACAGAACCACACCCACCAACCCGCATCGGCTCGAATATGCCACTCACAGTCACAAGCTATATGTTTTACTTTATTTGTTCGGATCGAATGACCTTCCCTCAAACGTCATTCATGATCTTCTCCCTCCAATTACAATGGAATTAGGAATCTTGCAAAAGGTACTCGTGCGTGCGTGCATGGTTGGCTACTCGGCATGTGGAACCGCGGCGTGTCGCTTCACTAATCTTATTATTTATAGTCTCTTAAAATGCGCACCATATTAAAATTAAACTGAAAAGTAAAGTAGTACAAAAGCAAATAAAGAGGAGCCAACCATTCACACCCGAGTACCTTTTTTTTGCAAGATAATTGATACTCGGTCAAATTACTGCAGTTATACAAACCATTCATTGCTGTCAAAAAGTGTTCCCATTATTGCTTACTGTTGATACGGTTTTGGTACCAACGAAGAGGTACGCAAGCCTTCGAAAAATTTGGATAAAGGGTTCATGAAAGACTATGAAATAGCAAATATGATACTAAATTTGTGGATTCAATGTGATTTGTGTGTAAATTAAATGATGTACAAAGCAATAAGTGTATAAAGAAAATAAAGCGATAGACAAAAACGATTTTTGAAGTTGATCGGATGTATGAAACAATTTATATGTCTACTGTTGTTTTATTGATGAGTTTACAAGGAGTATATGCTCTAGAGAGACTACTGTTGTAGGGTTTTTGTAGTAAAAGAGATAAAAATATCTTATTGATTTGGGTGAAAACCTTCTATTGATAGTGTTTTGAGGATGATTCTTAGTGTGAAATAATCCACATATAGTTTGATACGTAATACTATGTTAATTAGCTTGTAGATGAAGTCGTCCATGTACAACTTGACACATGCATAGATCGGAGAGCAACTTGCATCCTTAATGGGCTTGTGTCCTTGAAGAGTCGGCTGGCTTCCTTCTTCATGAAGCTTCGCCCTTTAGAAGATGGTAAGTGTCTTGGTAGTAGCTCATTCTGGAGGACACGTGTTGGGACCTCATTCTGCCTGCTTTTATCCCCCAACACTTACTAATTAAAAACCATTTTTTTTAGTTTGAAGTGTATTTTTGCACTAAGTCTATAGTGCTGTTACTGTTGCGTAAAATATAGTTTAGATTTAAAAAACCCAATAACTGGAAAATTGAAGAATAGGTCAGGCCAATATTCAGAAAAGCTAAATGCAACTACATTAGACTTTGCTGACAAAAGAATAGAGATCTCAGTTTCCAAATTTCTGTATGATTCGGCTTCACCCATTTGATAGAATTTACATCAAATTTTCAATAAACAAAAAGCAAGATGTTGTTGAATTCAATCTGTGGAGTTTATTTGAATAGAAAGGGTCTAAAATGGGTCATATATAAAAACTGTTATCAAAAGCTCCTTTGAGAGTAGTATGATCATAAGCAAATTATATGTAAGAATATGTTTCAGCGGTAAGTAATCATTCAGCCCATTTGTCAGTATGCAACAGGCCATAAACGATAAAATTTTGAAGGACAGACTGAAGGCAGATGTGTTTCACTTGAATTTGTAGACCAAAAGAATTGATTAACTTGCACTTTTCAGAGTGGATAGTACAGGAGACTCCCAACTTTGCTAATTTTCATTATTCTAGGCTGGGATACCTACCTTCTCTTAGCTTATCAAATCATTATTCTAGGCGGGGATACCTAGCTTCCTTAGCTTATCAACTCCCATGGGGTCGACTTCTACCCCACTCATATTCACAGGCCATATGCTTGACTTTATTTGTTCGGATCGAATGACCTTGCCTCAACCGACATTCATGATCTTCTCCCTCCAATTACAATGGAATTAGGAATCTTACAAAAAGGTACTCGTGCGTGCGTGCGTGCATGGTTGGCTACTGGAAATGTGGAACCGCGGCGTGTCGCTTCACTAATCTTATTATTTATAGTCTCTTAAAATGCGCACCATACTAAAATTAAACTGAAAAGTAAAGTAGTACAAAAAGCAATTAAAGAGGAGCCAACCATGCACACCCGAGTATCTTTTTTGCAAGATTCTTAAGTCATTTTCAATTCCATTGTGAATGTCAGTGGTATAGAAGTCGACCCCATGGGGGTTGGTATAGATTGTTTGAGTCATGACAATTGATACTCGGTCAAATTACGGCTGTTATACAAACCATGCATACATTAGTGTCAAAAAGTGCACTATCGACTCAGTAAAAATAAGAAATGCTCTCAAATAACACTGGCATCTGGCACAAATAATTTTTTTGACCAACTAATGTGCTCCTTTGAAATGGAAATTAATTTTTTAACCCAGATTATTGATACAAAATTCTGCACCAACTAGCTTGATCTGATCAACTTTGTTGGGATTGAAACTGATGTGTGCGTGATTAGTGAAAATCAACGATGAATATGAATGAAATGAACTAAGAACAAAGAGATTTTTAAAGTGGTTCAACCAGGTTAACAACCTACGTTCACTATATTTTTGTATTTGCTATGAGAGCTTACAATACGATTTTTATCTGAAATTTGTAACCCCCTCCTCATCGTCTGAGGGAGGTTTATATACAAGATTAGTATAAAGGGAAAAATGGAATTTAGGGGATTACAACTGATTCGAATCATAATTTCAATATCTTTGCGATTGGGCACGGTGATTGCGTAGTGATCATCGTTGATCCAGTCTTTCCCGCAATATCTAGGATCTGAAGTAATCTGAGGATTAATTGAATGATTCCTTGATTTGTTCGCTACTAGCTTATGCTAGGTCGAGCTATAGTTAAACGAGCTTATACTGGATTGATCAATCATAGTTGTTAAGCTTATTCTGGGTCGAGCTATATCCTCGAGGTTGCCCGAGCTTGACGGAAAAATCACACACAACATAGACATGCATGCATATATATTTGTGATTTGAGCTTTTAATTCAACTTTTAAAATAGTTTTATCATACTTGATTGACCATTAATAATAATAATAATAATAATAAATGCATAAATTTTGAAAATTTATCACTTATGACAGTTTCATTTCGATTTTTACTCTCCAACAGAGTTAAAAAAAGGAGTTAAATTTGGTCATGATACAATACTAATCAACAGCCCCCTTTCAGAGCACTACGCTCATTAGCAATTATATACATGTAAAGGCTATTATTGTAGTAATTAATTCAAGAACCTTGAAGAAAAATTATTTATAATTACCACTTTAAGGAATCTGTAGCTTTCAGCAGGCAAGCAATCGTTGATAGTTTGCAACTGACCATAAACTAAAAAATTTCCAAGGACAGGTGTGTTTCACTTGAATTTGTCGACCAAATTAAAGAATCTTCTTACTTGCACATGAACCATCAACATAAAAAACTATACATTTGCAAGTGGATAGTGAATAGTACTGGCGAATCTCTAACTTTTTGGTTGCTATTTTTGGTGGTGGCGGAGCCTCCCAACTTTGCTAATTTTCATTATTCTAGGGATACCTAGTTACCTTCTCTTAGCTTATCAACCGTCTATGTAACGAAATTGATTTCCCTTACGAACTTCAAACAACATAAAGCAACAGTTGAGCACATTGAAAGGTCAAGATATTTAGCTTCAAGACAAACTGGAAGTTGGCTACTGCTGTTTCATTCTCACATTCTATACAGAATGTTAAGGATATATTTAACTAAAAGTCGTAAGTTGAAATATAAGAATGGACATGCACAGTTGCAAACTGTTCAAAAGATCCAATTAATTATTATATGCAAAGATATAGAGACGGCTTTTTAAATGTTATTTTTTTTTTTTCGGGATAAGTAAGGCTTTTTAAATGTTAGGCACACGTAAACCGTCGAAATTGATTTGGACGCGGGTCCACTTCTTTTAATTTTATAAACAACTCTCTTTTCGTAATATAATTAATAAGCACTTCAAGTTCCCACATGTTATTATATATACAGTCTTAGAACAAATATATGTATTCTCCAGCTGTTGCCTTGATAATGTAAACTTTTAATATAATATGGTTATAAAAGTTCGTCTACACTTCATTACTTCACTCTTCAGTTTGCAAGTGCATGCAAACTTTTTACGTAACCGTTTTACAAGCCCAAGCTGGATACTACTCTTGCTACATAATTACATGTGAGAGGAATGAAATCGTTATGTGGTTTACAAGTGTTGTTAGCAAAACTTTTCTTCAATTTGTGATGTTTGAAATATCATAAATTCAACATAGGTTTTTTAATACCCATTACATATTAAAATATTTTATTTTATGTTATTGTATATATATATATATTGTTGTCTAATTAAATAAAATCTCGACCAAAATAGGTTGTTCAGAATAAATTGTATTATTGCATGAATTTGTTCCCATAAATCGAAGTCCTCCCTACTTCCTTGACCGTGTATTTAGCACTCAAAACATGTAATTTGTTAACTATATCATGAATTTGTATAAATTAATAAAAACAGCAGGATATGTCATCTTGTTATAAATTTAAAGTGCATGTCAATGAACCCATGATAAGATCCTTCCTGCATGCATGCATGTAAGAATCTAAGCAGGCATGACATCAAAGTCATGTATCTTGATTAATTTTTTAAAACAAAAAGTAATTCCCACTTGTTAGGACTTGTGAATTGTGATACCCATGTGTGGGTTCTTTTATCTCTATAAATACCGAGGAGACTTAAGGGTTTAGGCATACAATTTGCTGAGTGTAGTCTATTTGTTTGAATAGTTCTAAGATAAGCAAGTTGCTTCAAGTTTTCTCTCTCTCTCCCTCTGTATCTAGCTGCTCAGTTGTTAAAGCTTATTTCTAAGGCTTCTCTCTATGGCTCAAATTAAGCTAACCTTTGCTTTTCTTGTCCTCGTTTTGATTTTCTGCCAAGAAATTCAATGTGTCGAGGGAAGGAAATTAAAGTTTGAGAGACAAAATGCATCCCCAGAGCTTCAAATTTACAACAAAATCCATGAAAAAGAAACGTGGAAGTTTGCTGAGCAAAAAGACGAGAGCACCACTGCCAGAGCTGCAGATGCTAGTGTGTCTCCACAGACAGCTCCAACTACGCCAGTTGGGGAATTCGTACGTCTACCTCCAAAACATGGAGGTGAATCCAGGCCAACTGCTCCAGGACACAGTCCCGGTGTTGGTCATGCCATTCAAAACTAGGGCTGCTTTTCATTTGTTAAGTATCCTGCATGCTGTACTCGGGTGTTGAATTGTTTAGGTCCCCGTTTTCTGTTGTAGGAAACTAAAATAAAACCTTATCTGTTGTGCGAACTGAGATTTCAAGTATATTTCATGTAACTTAATAGCTATTAATATGTTTGTTTGTACAAAGACGTATTGGTGAGCAGAAAGACAATGTGATTAGGAGTTTCTTATTACTTCTTTGTCTTCCAAACTATCGGCATCTTGTTTTCTCTGCCCAGTTGATTTTAGGCTCTGTTCAAAAACTTCTAACTAGACACGACAGTAACTGATACTTGCACCAACAGTTTTGAACGGATCCTCACTCTCCACTGGTAACTTTCAACTCTCTAATGAAACCAATACACTCTTGTTTACATAAAGACAAGCTACAAATCGCCAAACCTTGATATTGATGGAAGCACATGATTTTTCATATACGAGTTGTAGTACTTCTTCAACTGTCTAATTTCATGTAAATTGTGTGCCCAACCGGTTTAAAACATACAGGAAATCGATTATATTCTGCATCGCAATCTTTTGGCTGATCTATGTATTTTAATGAAGTCTGTAGACCATGCATGATGGCCAGGCCAATCAAGAAAAAGAACATCTAAAGGATGGATTGTATCCGTTGGTCCACAGTAACATATTTGCAAGTTCTTGACACCAGCCCCTTCCTTGGAAATTCTGTGTATACTCACATTTGAATAGATATATAGTATCACGCCTTCAAGATTCTTAGCTTTTAGGGTTTTCTTACTGTTGTAATTTATAAATCCCCAATTTGATTTTTACATATTTCTAATATGGGTGTATTTGTCATATTTCAAACTAGACAATTATTATAGTCCCCTATTAGTTGCAAAACTATCATTTATAGCCTCAAGCTCGTTGAAGCTCACGAATTGGTCGAGCCGAGTATTGGCATGTTCGAATGGATTGACTTGGACATTGTAGCCAAGCCCCTCGAGCTTTTATCGAGCTGATTGAGCCTAAGTCGCTTGTAAGCGGCTCGGCTCGGCTAACACCTCTGGGTATAATTCTCATGATGGTTATAGTTTTAGTGGAAACAACCTTGTAATTGAGACCTAAGGGGACTTATAGGTATTATAAATAAATTTGATGTTTTTGAAACTTTTAAATGGTGAAAAACCATGATCGAGTATGAAAAGTTTAATATGCTCCTCTCAGAGTCTTTTATGAATAATGACCTTATTATACAAACCATTTGTTGCTGTCAAAAAGTGTTCCCATTACTGCTTACTAATTAAAAAGTAAAAACCATTTTTCTCTTTGAAGTGTATTTTTGCACTAAGTCTATAGTGTTTTTACTGTTGCGTAAAATAGATATAGTTTAGATTTAAGAAACCCAATAACCGGAAAATTGAAGAATAGCTCAGGCCAGGCCAATATTCAAGAAGGCTAAATGAAACTACATTAGACTTTGATGAGAAAAGAATAGAGATCTCAGTTTCCAAATCTCTGTATGATTCGGCTTCACCCATTTGATAGAATGCACATCAAATTTTCAATAAACAAAAAGAAAGTTGGAGGATGATGGCAAGACAGCGTTGAATTCAATCTGTAGAGTTTATTTGAATAGAAAGGGTCTAAAATGGGTCATATATAAAACACTGTTTTTTGAAGCTCCTTTCATTCAGAGTAGTATGCGATCCTAGTTGAAAGTATGAAATAGACCATAAACAATAAAATTTTGAAGGACAGACTGAAGACAGATGTGTTTCACTTTAATTTGTCTACCAAAAGAATTGATTAACTTGCACACGAGCCATCAATATAAAAAACTATACATTTGAAAGTGAAGACAGATTTAATCCCCGACTTTTTTGGTGCATTTCGGTAGTGGCGGAGCCTCCCAGCTTTTCTGATTTTCATTATTCTAGGCAGGGATACCTACTTTCTCTTAGCTTATCAATTCATTATTGTTACTTAATTAAGATTTAAAAAAGAAGTAGCTGGGAACTTCATGGATGTATAAGTTAGTATAAGAAATCCTAAAGCATCAAATTATAAAACTACATGGATGTACACATGCAGATGTTTTATCTACTATTTATAAGCTTANTTAGCCGAAAACGAAACTATATTTAATATTTACTAGTCGCTAGTTATTGTCATTTATCTAGAAAGTTTTATGGTGCGGACTAAAAATGATTATGCACGTCCTTATACTCGATTGATCTTACTATAATAACTCTATCTCCAACCTTAATTATAAACACATATAACACAATTAGGCTAATCATTAATTAATTTTTTGTAATTCATGAGTCTTGGCATTTTTTCTTTTCTTTTTCATCTTGATTATTTTCATAACAATCTTCCAATAACACTTTATATTTTGCCAATCTATGCTATATTCTAAATTGTTATGCCTAAAATAAGAGCTAACATATGCTGACATCATCGAACACTAATTAGAATCCAAAAAAGCATTCCACCGTCCAGAACATGACACGTCTCCATAGGCAAAAGGCATATAACTGTCACAGACAAAAACCGACTCAAGAATTTGTATCTGAGTGAATTTGGTTCGCATACCTGTCCAAGCCCCATTTAATTTAAGGATATTTATTGAGTTCTCAACAAATGGGAAGGCAAGAGGAATCTTTACAACATCAGGCCACTTGGAAAAGTGTAATAATCACCTTGAGCTAAACGGGTATAATTAGGCAGCTCCTCCTCATAAATTCAGATGAGACATTCATGCATGCAACAAAAAAAATAACAAAGACACACTACTAGAAAGAAATTGACTAGACATTCTTTAAGAACACTTAGAACACCAAACAATTGTAATCCTAGAATGCAGCTCGCGACCTCTTGTAAGCTTGTCTAGCGATCAGAAAGTAATTAATATAAACGAATACAATGAATTTAGGATTCACTTTAAGCATTTGAACCACTATAAAAATTATCTTGTCAACTTTACATTTACGCATTTGCGTGTTACTGTGCTCATAGTACCTCACCCACTCACTATAATTAGGTTACGTGTGACTTCTTATCACTTTACATGTGTGAAGTTGTTGGTATTAAAATTAAACATCAACACAAACCAATTCCACATTAAAGAAGTGTATGTGTGCCTGACTCCTCAGCCAATAAGGCCTTGTTGAATAGGAGGATTACCCCCTCTTATAACCCAATAGGCTTGAGCATACCTAGTCGGTGTGGGACTCCAACACTCCCCCTCATAGTCAAGCCTATATGTTGGGTTGTGTCTATTGATGGAGGTAGTTGTTGACTCTAACTCCCCTCCCGCTGGTCAAGCGCTCAACTCAATTGAACCTAGGCTCTGATATCATGATAGAATTTGAGGTGGGTCTGACTTCCCACCCAATAAGACCTTGTTGAATGGGAGGATTACCCCCTCTTATCACCTAATAGGCTTGAACGTGCCTAGTCGGTGTGGGACTCCAACACATACGACGAAACTAAAGCATGATAGCAGATAGCAGATCTTTGTCGACCAACAAAAGTCACCATCAAACAAATAGCATAAGCACGTTTACTTTAGTTTATAGCCATTAAAACCAAACCAACCTCGTGCACTACAGCCTAGCACACCAACAATGAGAATCAAATTGCTTTGTACTCTATATCTAATTAATTAATTTAGTAATTAGTTTAATGTTTATAAGATTAGTGGGAGGGAGGCGCTGGGGTTCCAAACCTCGTGGAGCCAACCATGCACGCACGAGTACCTTTTTGCAAGATTCTTAGTTCATTTTCAATTCCATTGCAATTGGAGGGAGAAGATGAATGACGGTTGAGGCAAGGCACTTAATATTGGTTTAACAAATAAGTAAAACATATAGCTTGTGAATGTGAGTGGCATAGTCGACCCCATAGGAGTTGGTGGCTGTGGTTCTTTTGACTTGACCACTCTTTTGACTCTACTGGAACACACATTTTATTATACGAAGAATCACGGCGAATTTAATTAGTATAAATAGTGTTAATATCAGCGCATTAATACTCCATTTTGTCTCGATCGAGATCATCATTAATTATGATCATTATGTTATTGAATACGAAGATTATTAAAACACAAGCTAACAAAATATTAAAATATCTTATATTTCTCAATGTCTTATAATAATAATTGTTGATTCTTAATTTTGACACCAATAACTCGCACGTATAAAGTGCTAAGCAGATTTATAAATTACATGTGATATGAAAATATGAAACGAGAGAATAAATGAAAGCGATTTTTAAAGTGGTTCGAATGCTCAAAAGCGAATCATACGTCTATTGTTATTGTATTAATAGGTGGGTACAGTCAGGTCGCGTGTTGCGAGCTGAGTTACAATCAAAAGAGAATGTGTGTAAGCTATTTTAAACTAAAATCAGCCAATCCCGTAAATGAGAGGGGTGTCTTCTATTTATAGTGGAAGAGTTCAAAGTAATGATTAAGAGTCTGAAAGTGCGTAGGTGCCGTGCAAGTCCTTTCTTGCATCCCATTGGTTATCTGCACGAGAAATATCCTCAAATTGCATAGGGCTTAGGCAAGTGAATAACCCCTGGCCACTTGCAAGCTTAACATTTATCTGCTGCGCTGACAAGAACCATACCTCTCCCGTCATTGCACGACGTGGCAACGTCTAGACGGCACAAAACCTTCTTGAATCCTGATTGACTCTTGTTGACAAGAGTCCGTGTCAGCCCTAACTTTTTAGGCATAACAATAATAATAATATTTATTCTTATATAAACTACAATACATTTATTCTCTTGTGGCTTGATGACAAGTCTTTTAATCATTGGGATTAGTTATACATAAATGTCTTGTGTTTGAGTTGCAGGAGAGACAATTATCGGATTTATCCTAAAGAAAAAAAAAAAAAAAAAACCACAATACACGCTAATTGGATTTTATGATGAAAGCAGATATATGCAGAGATATATAGATTGTTCACCAAATATGGATCTTTAAAAGGGGAACTCAG